TTAGTTTTTTTGGTGAAAAAGCGCAAAACTTCTTCAAGGGAGTGGTGAAAAATCGGGAGATTTCAAGAAGATGGTAGTAGGGAAAAAGGGAGGGAGGAGGTCGTTCCAGGGGAAGAATTTATCAGGAGGTTGTATTTTGCAAGGCTTTTCCTCGCCCGCAAGGAGAACTCTGGTCCCACTACGTAATAATGATTGTTTTTCAGCCGAGGGTCTTCCAGAGTTCTGCAGATGAGTTGTGAAATTTCTAACTGAGGTGTTTATTCTGGAATGATTTTTCATTCTTGATCGTTGGGCAGCATTTCCTACGTTGGCTATCCCCAAGAAGGGGTCGTAGTCGTCCCCGTCAAAGAGGTGGGGGGAGGGGTAGTAATGTCGTATTGGCCTGGGGAATTTTCTTTTCTTTTCATTGTCGATTCTTCCTGTCCGAAGCTTTTACGCGCACTGTATTACCGCAAAATTATCATTTATCTGGCTGTTGATCGGATTTGTCCTCTGTTTTGAATGCAAACCTGAAGCGTAACGTGTCCTCAAAAGTTCAAAAAGTCAAATCTGGGGACATCACAGATTTGACATTGTACTGCTCGATTTTAACAACCTTTCAAAAGACTTTGTAAGATTGCGATCTTTCAGATTGGCTACTTATCAAAATCGGGTCGACGAGCAGCATCGGTGGAATCCTATCATTGAAAGTTATCAGCTGGACCGAGTCGACGAATGGTACCTTAGCCGATATGAAATGCATGAGGAGCTCTTTACCTACAGGTAAGCTCACAGTCAATACTGGAGGCTCGGAGTATCGAATGCTGCGTATTTGAGCGGGAGACTCGCTAAAGACATCTTTATCAAGCGCAATGTGAGCGTCCCATTGCGCTGTCCTCATTGTCGCACTTCTCTTTGTCGTCCTTGATTCTTAGGAAGAGGAGACGCACCAATGCGGAAGGCGTGGTGGTAGGCCCGACTCCTCCCATGCGGCAAACGTCGCGTGCGTCTCAAAGGAAGCTGGACGATGAAACATTATTCAGAAATGTGTGCGTGTTTTCACAACGTAGTTTTTTACGTTCAGATTAGGCTACCTCAAACTGGCTCCTATGGTACAGACTGAAACTCAGGCAACAACCGATAGAGGCCGAATAGTGGATCTTCCTGAAGGGTATGTTTGCATACCGTGGAACACAATCCTGTTACTATGATGCGATAGTCAATTTTGCACAGTGGTTGCAGTTTGGGAAATCCCTCCAATACACGCACTATTTCAAACAGTTTGGTCGCTTGGGTAGAGGCCTCAAGTGGCGTTTCTGTGCTTCAGAAACAGAAAACAAGATTTTCTAGAAACTGAAAAAATCAAGCTGACTTGGCCCTTGATTCCGAGAAGCCAGTAGGAACTTATCAGTTCTTGTGAACCCATGATTAATGTGGCGGTTTTGCTTTTCTGTAATCAGTGTTTAGAATATTCTTATATATTTAAACAGATTTATGCCCATCTAGTAAACTTCAGTCATGCTGTTTTCAGAATGATATCTGCTCCAATTTCTCTGCACTGGCTCTGGACTCTTCCACCAGAA